GGAAGTTTTCAGGTGGTCCTTTAACACTCATGGCCATTATCTATTGGAATAAGAGGCATATTCTGCCCCAGTGATGCTGGAATGTCATTGTGTTTTATGCTTTAATTGAGGACACTTTTGAGCACAAAAGAAGTGTATATAGATAATTAAACATTACATCTTTTTAGTATTTTCACCCTTCAACTTTTTCTGAGCCTCTTATTGTGTATAATGGTAAAAGATGTTTTGTTTATCACAGATAAAATCTCAAATACACAATGGCATCCCAAAAAAGGTGCAGGAGAGGTTGCAAAAGGTTTAGTGAGCGTACGCTCCCCGTAAAGACTCCATGTTTGTAGAGATTTCAGCACAATGACTGTTAGAGCCGGGACTGTGGAACAGATAAAGACCTCTACCTTCCGCAGGATTTCACATTATGTACAGGCTCCTATGGTACCAAAAGGTAAGACATGTACAAGGACTTCAAGTTCTGATAAGATAGAAAACATCAGTTTAATAACTTTGAAATGCATCTTTGATGTAGCCAGTTAAAACCCTTAATCCCAGACACAGAAAGACTGTCATTCAGATCACTTTGTGGCTGCTTAGTGTCTCTGTAGTCATTTTCATTCATTCTTCATGGTCATTTTTGTATGGTGGTCCTTTTGCGTACCTTTTTATATTTTACTGTCTAACTTGGATTCACTTGGCATTTTGCATCTCTTGGTTGTCATTTTGCATCTAGATGTGGAAATGTTTCATCTATGTTGACTTTTTGTTAATAAATATATATATTTAGAGCAATAGCTCACGACAGGCCGTGATATACGCTCATTATATCACGGCTAAGAAACAATCAGATTGCTTGATTTGACTTGTCCGTTTTATAAATATATCATATATCATATATGTACATATATATATATATATGTATATTAAAAACAAGTATAATTACGGCCCGATTCAGAATCATACGGTATATTATCAACTACTGGATAAAGTCTTTACTTGATATACTCCTGCTGGATATTCTAACCAATAATGATATGCTATTTCTTGAATTGACTAATAATCTGAATCCAGTGTTTCCCCTAGGTTTACTGCTTTGGGGGGGGGGGGGGGATTTAAAAAAAAAATCCTCTGGAGCAGAGAGAGGAGCTGTGGATTATTGTTATTGATTAATGCATCAGTGTTTCTTAGGGTCAAAAACACTAAACTCACAACTTAAAATGAAAGTGTTTAGTTGGCAGTCACATCACAACAGTTATTAGGTCTGCATACTACCACCTGAAGAATATATCTAGGATTAAAAAAACTAATGTCGCAACAGGATTTAGAAAAGCTTGTCCATGCTTTTATTTTCAGTAGACTCGACTACCTCAATAGTGTATTCACAGGGCTCACTAAAAAAATCTATCAGAAAGCTGCAGCTGATTCAGAACGCTGCTGCTCGAGTCCTCACTGACACTAGAAAAGTGGATCACATCAGTCCGGTTCTGAGATCATTACACTGGCTTCCAGTCTGCCAAAGAATTGATTTTAAAATACTACTGCTAGTTTTTAAATCACTAAATGGCTTAGGACCGAGGTATATAGACGACCTCCTCCATCACTCTCAGGTCTCAGGTCTTCTGGGTGGGGTCTGCTCTCTGTTCCGAGAAAACACTAAACATGGAAAAGCAGCTTTTAGTTATTATGCCCCAACAATTTGGAACAAACTGCCTAAATCATGCACGTCCGCCGAAACACTTCGTATTTTCAAATCCAGACTAAAAACGCACCTATTTGCTGCTGCTTTTAATTGAGCTGCCCATACTCACACTACAGTATGCCTTTTTTAGTCATGTATTCTGTACCTGCTGTGTTTATTTATTTATTTAATTTCATTACCGTTGCTTATTATGCCTGTTTTTAAATGCCTTTTTAATAATGTATTTATGCTGTATTTGTTCTTAAATGTCTTTTGCTTTTAATCTGTAAAGCACTTTGAATCGCCACGTGCTGAAAAGTGCTATATAAATACAATTGCCTTGCCTATAGTTTATTTAATAAAAGAGCACATGTTCAATGTGAAAAGTGACAGTAGATATAGATTAGTTTCAAGTTGGTGCTATATACATATATATATATATATTTAAAAGAATAATAATACAAAAAAATAATTATAATCTGTTTTTTTTTTTTAAACACCTTGAATTTCAGGGGGGGCGCGGGGCTCTGTTGGCGGGGCTCTGTTGGCGGGGCTCCGTTGGCGGGGCGCAGTGCCCCTCCAAGACAATGGTAGGGGAACACTGGAATCTGTATTCTTTCACACACACATACGGATTTTGGGCCGAGGGCGACACCGTACTTCCGGTATCCACCATTTCACACGAGGTGCAAGCAGAATATCATAGTCTATTGCCTTAATCAATATAGTCAACACTAAAATACCACATATATGCATTGGCATGATAATATTATTGTGACAAGTGGGGTATTCACCTGGTGTTTCTAGAAGATAGACGTAGATGCTGCCAAAATCGACCGAAGGCCACTTTCGAGAGTCGTTTTTCCATACATCTGCAGGCAGTCTGTAAGGGCAATCGGACAACCCACACAGCTCTAGTTTACGCTGGTAACGACCTAGAGCACACCCCTCAAGTCCAGAGATGTAATCCGAAGACATGCAGCGATTTCTTCGGTCGTTAATTCAGAAAAAAAACCTAGTGCGCTCTGCCTGGCTACATTACCTAGCTGTTTATATTAGCACCTCCAGGATATTAGCACCTCCAGGAAAATGGCGTATTTATATATATATATGGCGCGCGTTGCATTGTGGGTAGCTCGTGACGTCACTGTGTGTGAAAGAATAGTAACTTAAGCTGTCAGATAATTGTAGTGCGGTATTGGTTTCTTAAAGTTAGAAGTTTCAAAGAGCATATGATGAAAATACTCAGCTAAAGTACAAGCACCTCCAGAAAGGAGGAGTACATTACTTGAGTAAATGTTAGTTTGTTGCTGCTGTTGCTTATGATTACATTGAATTACCTAATATTTCTCTATGTTTTGGAGTGTTGCAATAATTAAAAAAAACACATTTTGTTAGAAGCCATCACGTTTGTTTACTACCATGTTGATAAGAGTATTGAAAACCTAAAATATAAAAAACGTATGTAAAGAAATTGGGATTGCAATAGAGAACCGCAGTGACGCGTCGTAAAACCCGGAAGTAAACTTCTTCCGGTTCCTTCGTCAAAAACGCAATGCAAATTCTCCATAGGATTTTGGAAAATAGCTCGAAATAAGGTCTGTGGTTGACACACATTTAAGAGAGGGATCACGTTTTGTTCAGCCGGATAATCTCCACATGTCTATCCTACTTTTATAATTTTCGAATCATAAATCTAGTCGCCAAAAGCAAAATGCTAACGTTATGCTATAAACGAACTACAAGCCAGTACAGCAGCAGGGTCGCACGACTTCAACGTCACGCCAACTTAAGATCGTTTCAACTGACTTGCACTGAAACTGCACTTTGAACACTTTAAGTATATTAACATTTTAAACTGTATACCCCGTTTATCTAGGCCCTTTTTGTTTTGTTTCATGTATACATGTCACACTGTGGAAAACGATATTTCGATATTTCTGGATGTATAACACATGTAGAATTTTTGACAATAAAGCTGACTTTGACTTCCGCGTGCTTGCATATTTTAACAAAGCTTTTCATTTTAGCCACACTGAATTTAACTAGAAGTCATGGCTGTCAATTACCAGTCTGATATCGTTTTACAAAGATGACAAGAAGAGTGTAGATAGAGGAGAGAACCACTACAAGTCAGGACACGTAAAACAGTGCAGCCTAGATGAAGGTGTGCTTACCGGTGTTGTCAGGGCTAGCATGAGGGACAAGGTTTATAGAGTGTCGGTGAGTAGTGATAGCAAGAGTACCGTTAACCTAGAGTTAATTTATTCACATTAGTGACATTAATTCCCATCAACAAATCCATTTTATGTGTCACATGAAATCTTTATTAGGCAAGGCAAGTTTATTTATATAGCACCTTTCAACACAAGGCAATTCAAAGTGCTTTACAAAAATGAAAGACATTAAGAAAATGGCATTTCAAATCAGTCATTAAAAAGAAAAGATAATAAAATAAACATTAAAAGAAAAAATACATGGATAAAAGTTACAGTGCAGTCTAAGATATGAATAGTTCAATTAAAAGCAGCGACAAAAAGAAAAGTCTTCAGCCTGGATTTAAAAGTAGTCAGAGTTGCAGCGGACCTGCAGGTTTCTGGGAGTTTGTTCCAGATATTTGGAGCATAATAACTGAACGCTGCTTCTCCATGTTTAGTTCTGACTCTGGGGACAGAAAGCTGACCAGTCCCTGAAGACCTGAGAGATCTGGATGGTTCATCATTTAGCAGGAGGTCAGAAATGTATTTTGGGCCTAAACCATTCAGTGCTTTATAAACCAGCAGCAGTATTTTGAAATCTATTCTTTGACACACAGGAAGCCAGTGTAAAGACTTCAGAACAGGAGTGATGTGATCCACTTTGTTAGTGTTAGTGAGGACTCGAGCAGCGGCGTTCTGAATCAGCTGCAGCTTTCTAATAGATTTTTTAGTGAGACCTGTGAAGACACCATTACAGTAGTCCAGTCTACTGAAGATAAAAGCATGGACAAGTTTTTCCAAATCCTGCTGTGACATTAGTCTTTTAATCCTAGATATATTCTTTAGGTGATAGTAGGCTGATTTAGTAACAGTTTTAATGTGACTGTTGAAACTCAGGTCAGAGTCCATGACTACACCTAGATTTCTGGCTTTATCTGTTGTTTTGAACATTGCAGACTGAAGCTCAGTGCTAACTTTCATACGTTCTGACTTGGCTCCAAAAACCATTACCTCAGTTTTATCTTTGTTTAATTGGAGAAAGTTCTGACACATCCAGTCATTGATTTGTTCAATGCACTTACTCAGTGTTTTAACTGGAGCATAGTCTCCTGGTGAAATTGTTACATAAATGTTTGTATCATCTGCATAGCTATGGTAACTTATTTTGTTGTTCTTCATTATCTGAGCCAGTGGTAGCATGTAGATGTTAAAGAGAAGAGGCCCCAAGATTACAAATATTACACACCAGAAAACACAGAAATATCCATGAAATAAACATACAGTATAGGCCATAAACAATGAAAGGGATAATTGGGAAGGCATTACAAATGTAAATATATTTTAAATAATAAAACAATCCCACCACCACAGGTATCTACAGGAGAAGAGGGAGTTCTCTCCACAAGATGTGAATGCCCACGTGGAGAATGGAAATGCATTCATGCGGCTGCATTAGCCATCTTTGCCATCCACAATTTCAGCTGCACTGACACCCCCTGTCAGTGGAAGAAGCCAAAGGCAGCTAAACGTATGCATTCAGTGGAGGAGCTATTTCCTCCAACCAATAACTAATTTAACCCGCTGACAAGAGAGCCCACCTCCGAAGATCGTGACTGGCTGAGGGACAGACTCGGGGGCAGGTTCTCAGGAATGTCTTGGCTTCTCTCCCCCGAGCCAGAAGAGGAACACTACAGCTTGGAAACACTTACTGTTCCTGAAATTATCAAATCTGTTGGGCATCAGTGACCTGAGGCAATTGTGGCAAGCATGGCATTGTCTGAGGAGCAACAGAGGGCAATTCAGGTGGCTACCACTGGTCAGCGAACCAAACTGGCATTTGTTCAAGAAAGGAAGGTTGACTGCCAGCAACTTTGGAGCTGTCCTGAGGTCAAAGCGTGTGACTGCTTCCCTTAGTGCCAGGGTGCTAGGGCAACAACAGGCCCTTGATGGTGTTTTGTCTGTACAGTGGGGGACTATGAATGAATGTGAGGGTGTCAGGGCATTCACCACTGCAACCCAGATGCAGGTCCATGAGTCAGGTTTGTGGCTCTCCCAATCAGGATTGTTGGGGGCATCTCCAGATGGTCTGGTAGGGTCTTCCGCTGTGCTGGAGGTAAAGTGTCCCTACGGAGCCAGGGAAATGACAATTAGTGAAGCATTGCAAATCAAGGGCTTCTGTGTCAGTAAGGAAGGAGTAACATTCAGCCTGCGTGAGGAGCATCCTTACTGGCACCAAGTGCAAGGTCAGCTTCACCTCACTGCAAGAGAGAAGAAGAAATTGTGAATCGTTTTTAATTTACATTTACTCACCTTTGCAATGTTGTGGTTGTTAGAGTGTTAGGTTTCCTGTCAGCTCGTCTGTTGGGAAGATATAAAATATTAGTTTCATGGAAGTCACACCGTCACATATAAGAGCATTAAGACATACAGTACATAGGCTAAAACAAAACATCTAAAGATATAACCTTGCACTTTGTCGCGTGAACATTTTCACTATTTTGACATTTTTATAGATGAAAATTGAACTAAAGAAATAAAGGTAGATTAATCCATATTGAAAATAGGTGTCAGCTGCTACACTAATTATAATAGTTATATTTCTTAATGAATTAAGATAAGATATTACTTTATTGATCCCAATTTGGGAAATGTTTGTGTTGCAGCAGCATAACAAGAAAAACAAAATATAAGTTATTATATATACAAAAGTATGTGAGGGATGGAATATTAAATTGAATATAAATGTACATGTGATTGTACGTCCAAGAGAAGCTATGGAGCAGAGAGTTCTCTGCCAGGCAGAGGTGATTTGTTATTAGTTCAATATGTCAAACTGATTTCCCTGACTACAATCTTTAGTTACATGGTGAAACGTTATGCTGCTTGTACTAATTAGACTTATCATATAAGCCACACAGGTTTTAATAGGATGTATTCATTATCTTTACTTATGTCTTTTCAGCAGCGCCATCTCTAAAACGGCGATACAGTCACTACCCATCATTTACATTTCACCGTGACATGGACAAAAATGTAATGTCAGCTTACCTCATGGCACGAATCCAGACTCTCCTTTGGAAAACATTGGCCGGGAAACGATAGAACGAGCACGTTTCATGCGAAGACCTGTGGCTGCAACCCGGAGCAAAGCAACAAACCATTGCGTAGCTAACTAGTAGCGCTAGCTTTAGCTAACGTTAGCTAACGAAACGAACTGCCGAGTAAAATTGGAAAACACTGGTAATTAATTATTCTATAATTTGTAAAACTACGGTGTTAAAAATGACAATTTCAAAAATACAGATTCTAATGGTCAGATATAGATATACAGATACTAAAGATAGGCAGGTACTTGCTTTCAAGCAGAACAGGGCAAACAAATTTAGCGGGAGTGTTTACGTGTTCGGCGTAATGACGTACAACGGCCTCGACAATTTCTGTAGTCCTATTCAGCCACTCGGTAACAACCATCGTTTTGCAGACACGTAAACTCTTCAAAAATCACCAGGGGTCACTGCTGATGTATTTAATGTCGTAGAACAAAACGTGATTTATCTCTTAAATTTGTGTCAACCACAGACCTTATTTCGAGCTATTTTCCAAAACCCTATGGAGAAAATGCATTGCTTTTTGACGAAGGAACCGGAAGTGCTAAAAATGCTAACTTACTTCCGAGTTTTACGACGCGTCACTGCGGTTCTCTAACTGCACAATGGACATTATGTGTTTAATCTGGAATAAATATTTGGCCCATATCCGCTGGGTCGACCAGCACCTCGCTCCGTTGGTGTTTGTGTGTGTGAGTGAGAGGCACATCGTTTAGCAGCGCGTCAGTAGGGCGGAAGGTGCTATTTGAATGCAGTCCATTTACCTTTGCAGTAAAGAGAGAAACCTGAAAATGGCACTTTGAAATCTCTGCTTTTTAATGGCAATGTAACATGGCTCCTGTAATGAACTCTCACTGTGAAGCTGTGTTCGAGTAGAAAAAGCATTCACATGATGTCTAAGCAAGTGAAATGAAAGCAGCGCAGCTACCTTTTCCTTTCCAACCTGTCATCCTCTGCTGTGTTTCCCTTTGCTTCGCTCGGGGACGTGGGGGTGGGGCTTGGGTTTTTGCTCTTTGTAGTAGTCAAAGCTCCACATCTCCTTTGTAATGCTTATCAACTGGTTGGGGTTCCCCACAATAGCTAATGGGGAAAACAAATCGTTATTTGCAATGTTTATCATTTGATTAACCTTTTTTTTACCCGTCTTTGTAATGATCCTAATTATGAGAGGCTTCAACACTGGCTGTCTGATAGTTGCTTGTGCAATTATGTCTGAAATATTGTGGCCTTAAGCAAATGGAGCGCTCCTCTGACTCTGAGCCAGGCAGACTGTAAAACACATTGTTGAACTGTTCCTGTAAAAGAAGAGAGAATAATTTACAGTGACAGTTATTAGAGCACCTGATAATGTGCTCATCAAATTGTAGATAGCTTTTGTTGGGTGATATGAAACCCAGATCACACTGTGTCAGCGCTGATGTACAAGTAGAGGAGGAACCGTTGATGTCCGTTGCTGCAACCCACAAAACAAGTTTGTCCTCTCCTCTCTGGGGAAGTCTGCCACACACACACACACACACACACACACACACACACACACACACACACACACACACACACACACACACACACACACACACACACACACACACACACACACACACACACACACACACACACACACACGTCTGCTCATGGACACGATGAGATGTGATTGAGACCCTCTTCTTCACAGAGCTCTGCTTTGACAAAACACACAGGTGTTTTTGCCTGCTGGCTTTCTCACCTCTGTTGTCAGGGCGGCTCTGTGTTCAGTGTGCAGGGATGGAGCTGGCGGTGAGACAGGAGTGTGGAGACATGATGGATGGTTCATGGTGTTAGGGGTGAAATGACCCCACGAGACCTTTTTGACACATTTAAGGCAGACCCTTCTGGGATTGTTGTGGCATTGCTTCCACTTCTTAGTGAAAGTTTCCGCTACACATTTTCGCCACAACTCAAATGACAATTTCCTTTATTTGGCTACTTTACATCAAATGAAGATTCCTCAGAAATCACTTGAGATATGTTGGTAAAAACTGCAATCTTCAGAAAAATCTCAATATATATGCCTGTAATTTATCATCTGATCAGCAGAAGACATTCACGAGCTAAATCACATGTTCATAGAATCTCTAAACCCCCATGCATTATGAATTGATTACAAAAAAACTCAAGATGACAGAACATAAGTTTATTAATTGATTAGTCAATAGACAGAAAATGAATGGCAGCTTTTTTGCACATTTATTTGAAAAGTTATTTTAGTTTTATTCAAGCAGAAAGGACAAACAAATCCTCTGTCCGCAGCTTTCTCAAATGCGAGGATATACCATTTTTGTTTTTTATATTAGTTGGACAGAACAAGACATTGGAAGTCATGTCATTGGGATCCTTGAATGTTGTCATTTATCTTTGACTAGTTCCTGACGTTGTAGGTGCCTTGTGGAGTCATTTAGTGTAACTATAAAATGACATGGCATTTATCCTTGAGGTCTGTCATTCATTTCCTTACTCAAAACATTTTCAATGCCCATTTCTTTTTAAAGATATTTAAAACCATGCATTGTTTCTATATTTATTTAAGACTTCATTTCAGGTGTGTATATATATTAGGGCTGCTCATTTAATCGTATTTTAATCGCAATTACCATTTTGGCTTGCAATGAATACGAAAACAACGTGATTTTTTAAATGTTACATTTGTATTGGTTTTTCAGTTGAATTATACTTAAAGTTCTGGCTAATCAACTGTTAAAAACATACTGTTCACATTTTTCAATAAATGGACGTTCTCAAAGTAAATGGATAATCGTTTTTAATAATCGTGATATCAATTATTGACCCAAATAATCGAGATTATGATTTTTGCCATAATCGAGCAGCCCTAATATATATATATATACATATTATCTTTGCTAGCTGAATGCTAGCTTTTGGATGCATTCTGTAACTGACCTATACTCCAAAGGGTACATTTTTAATTGATCAAATATTGGGCATCTTTATTATTCATTAATGAAAATGATTGCCAGTTGTAGCCCTACACAATACTCTATCTCTATATTTCAATGTTTTTATTCTAAAGCATTATTCAGCCAAAACCCATATTACAGATGTCTTTGTTTTATTACGGCTGCGTTTCTCATAAAGAAGGCATTGACTTCTTCAAATGTTTTGTGGCACTGTTTCTCCTGGAGGATTGATTCATAAAAAAGATAATATCCAATGCCTCGTTGGGATGTAACATATGCAATATTCATGTGTGTATATGTACCACTTTTAAGTTGTCCTCTTTCTTTGATCCCTCTGGGGACTTACGAAGACCTCTCACTGTGTTGGGACTTAACACTCGTGTTTTACTTGACTTAATCCAGACCCTACATGTTAATAGGGATAAGTAAATACCTCATTCCTGTCTTAAAGGGATGAAGCAGAACACTCTTGCTAACTTTCTTACATTCACATCATTCATATCTTACATTTGTCAACTGGATTGTTTCTAGGTCATTGTGTGCTAAAGAACTGTGGCCACAGGACACATTCAGCAGATCATGTTAGTGTTACTGTACCTGTGTTACATTTTGTGAATGACTTCCTGGTGTCATTTTGGTCTGCATGATAGGAAAAACACCCTCCGCCATTATCTTGATGATATGATTTCCTGTATCAGAGGGACTGATCATATATTATTTTTTACAATATCATTGAAAAATATTATAATATGATTATGTTGGGATTTTAGAAGAACTGGACCAAATAAGGATGTGTTTGAATACTCTGTAGCACTATTTGAAATACACTCAGATATTTTGCCTTTACCAAATATTGCGCTTACTGTGATTTGTGTGTTGCAGCAGCATCACTTGATTTCTATTGGTTTGTGCATCCCTTGATGAAATTGCCCTAAAATAAATGAAAAAGAACCCATAACCCAGATAGAAAGCTCAGATCAGCTGGAGTAAGTGTGTTGTGATGATCTCTTTCATGTCGACGTGCTGTTTGCAGTGGCTATGTTTCAGAACATGATGTTTGACCTGACACTGCTCTTCCAGCATTAAACTTTCAACACTTGAAAGAGGTCCAAAACAGCCCTTTGCTGTTATTAATATGTCAACACATCACATGGTGTCAGACTTCCAGCACTTTCTAATATTTACCCTCCTGCACAAAAACATTTCTCAATCCGTAATGACCACTTGATCTCTTTACTCTTTCCCGTCTCCAAACAGCGGAGCGCGTGGAGCGAGCTCTTGTTTGTGTAATGTGGCATTAACCTGTTCATTCATTCAACCGGCCCTCAGTGCTGGAAGCCTCGGCAGATGGGAACCTTTAATTTTTAAAGCCTTTTCATCCGCATGGCCGACCCTCGGCACGTTGCGTCACAAACCGTGAGTGCTAATCCCGATGCCTCCCACCCCTCTGTTTGGTATGAAAGAATCTGCCAGCCAAAGTGTATCTCCATATTCATCCCTGCAGTGTCTGTTTGAAGTGATGTTTTCATCGGTGCCTAGTGAACCTAGTGGCTGTGGAGCTTTAACCTAACTCCACTCATGGGACAGGGCACAGTGTGGAGAGGAGCAGCGTTACTGCCCTTTCAATCTTTATTGACCTGTAGACTTTAAGAGATGTTGGAGTGTGTACAGTATTTTGGAAAATACAAATATGTCATATAAAGGCTTGTAAAATCACACACATTTGCATTTTTTTATTTGCAGTTTTTGTAGTGTTCCGTAAGCTTGTAAAACAGAAATCAAACACCAGCAGTGGACAGGATGTTCTTGGTTATGCTTCGTTAAACATTAAGTCACGACTTATTGAACTGTTTTTTACTTAAAACTATAAAAAAAACAACACAATGGCCCACCATGCTGCCTCTTGGGATACTCACTGAAGCACTTAATGTGTATTAATCCACCGCCGAAAATAGTCCCTAACGAATGCATTATTAACTCCTGTTTGAATAAAGTATTTTGACATTCCCCAGCTGTTGTAGGAACTAGCTTAAGATTGAATACTTTGACTTAAATGCTCAGTTCATCTGTTACATACATGTAACATCTTTAACTAAATACTTTTCAGGGTAAAGACACTAAAGACAAAAGAAAGCCATTCTAAAGCTACTGCAGCTTGATTTCAAAGATCAGATTCTGTAGTTCTGTGTTTCCCTGTGATTCACTCTGCCAGCCACAGGAAAGCTTTGCTAGAAAGCATGTCATGCTTTCCCCTAAAAAAGTAGAACAGTGAACCCTGCCATTGTGCTGGAGTTCTGTACT